TCTTCTTCTTCTTCTTTCCATATAAGGTGGAACCTCACTTGGTCTCTGCAGGGTCTCAGCACCATGAGGCTCAACATTCTCAGCCACAACCTTGTGCTGGCTGGGAATTCTGGGTGTTGGGAAACACCAGACTGGGAGGAACAGACATAAATGCTCCATGGTATTTTCCAAGGCCAATGGGAGATGTTATGAGTCATTGAGAAATATTTCCTTCCCCTTGGGATTTTTGAGACTTTAGATGGGAATGTACCTCGCAAAATACCAAAAAGGTGACAACAATTTGAAAAAGAAATATTTTTGCTCCCTTGTATTTGTCTGAGGGTCTTATAATAGGCGTGTTAGATGCCAGTCCAGCTTCGCTCTTACTCTGGGGGGCGGGGGGATATCAGTCATTGGTCTCCCTTTCCACAACCTTCGCCTTAAACCCAGACTTTCCCCAGCTTAGCAGTTTTAAAAAGAATGGGCTTCAATTCCCACAATTCCTCAGCCAGCATCTTAAAGCTGCCAAAGTGGAAAAACGCTGCTGTGAATCAACAATACATTTGCATTCCAGGATCGCAACGCAAATCTTGGCTTCCCTGTCAGTTTCCTAATGTCAGAGGTAGGTATGCAAGAGGGTATCATTTGTGTGACAACCTGATGAGGAATCCGCCCCGCCTCGTTGCATTCCATGCACCTGTTGGATCCAGGCCAGGCGAGAGAAAGTCTGCCTCAGACTCGTTGTCTTCTTGGGCCAAACTGGATCCGGGTGGGAAGTGGGACCGGCTGTTGCTGCGCCGTCTCCTGGCCCCCTGCCTATTGCTAAGGGACGGGGGGGGGGGGGCTAAGGCTGAAGGGACAAGTGTCTCCTTGGCCCCCATCATGCGCCATTGGCAAGTGGCAGAAAGAGGTAAACGTTCAATCTAAACAGGGCCTGCATCGGATACGTGGCTGGAATTCTGTCCAAATGCACCTGAAGGCGGGACAAGAAGTAACGGATGGACAACCAACCTGGGATTAAGGAGCAGGTTTCTGACAACGAGAACGATCAGTGGAACCACTTTCCTTCCGAAGTCGTGGGTGCTCCAACACGGGAGGCTTTTAAGAAGAGATTGGACAGCCCCTTGTGTGAAATGGTATAGAGTCTCCTGCCTTGGGCAAAGGGCTGGACTAGAAGACCTCTAAGGTCCCTTCTTCCAGCTCTACTCTGATGAAATGATTGATTCGGAAGAGGCATACACGATAGCAGTGGTCCAATATTTGAGGGGCTGTCATAAGGAAGAGGGGGTGGGGTCCACCTATTCTCCACCTGAGGCAGGTCAAAAAACAAGGGTTGGAAACTGATCGAGGAGAGAAGCAACCTGGAACTTGGGAGAAACTCCCTGACAGTGAGGACAATTAACCAGAGGAACGGCTTGCCACCAGAAGTTGTGGGGGCTCCATCCCTGGAGGTTTGTAAGAAGAGACTGGACAGCCCTTTGTCCAGAATGGTATCGGTTCTCCTGCTGGAGCAGGGGGCTGGACTAGAAGACCTCCAAGGTCTCTTCCCGCTCTGCTATTCTTTCTCTTGGGTGCAATTCCATGAGGTGAAGAATCCTACACCTCTTGGTTAAAGTCTTGCTCCAAAGATCTCCAGGAGGAGGAGCAGGAATTAAGCAGGGGGAAACTGCCTTCCCGGAGCAATGTTTATAGTGAGGGATGCTTATTTTACAGGGCAAATATAGACGGCTGCATGGATCCTCCACATGGCTCCGGGCAACAGTGGTGGAGGTCCTCAGTGGGCTTATTTGCCCAAATTTAATTTG